ACCTCAAACTTCGAATCCATCATTACACATTTACATGCTTTTCTGTGTAGAGAGGAAAGTATGCTGGCCCAGGAAAACACACACGGCTGAGTTCTGGACCCTCGTACACAGAGGTGATCTATATAAACCACAGGCTAAGAACTATATCCTGTAGGAAATTTATCACCTAACAAATGGGATAAATCGCTTACTTTTTAGATTCATTCATTTATTTGTGTATATAAATATTTTGCCTGTGTGTATTTCTATGTACTATGCTTGTGACTGTTAACCTCAGTGGACAGAAAAGGGCATCAGATCCCCTGGAAGTGGAGTTATAGATGGTTGTGAGCCATCACGTGGGTTCTTGGAATCCAACTCAGGTCCTCTAACCAGTGCTCTTAACCCTGAGCCTCCTCCCCAGCACCAGTGCTTAAGTTGATCCTTAGAACACTACGCCCTGAAAGAGGGAAGGTAATGGAGAGACCCAAACACACTGTCCAGGAAGTTTTGATGAGCAGACAGATGAAGTACAAGAAGTCTAGTACTGATGTACAGGTGGTCCTGAAAGGGTGAGGATGGGGAGGCAGGTGGCTGCCCTCCCTCCCCCATTCCAGTCTGGCAAGCTAAAGAACAATAAGGAAAGATCCTCCCCCCACCACCTTCTTCACGGACAAGGTAATTCAGGTTGCCTCGCTCCAGAGCCTCAACCCATCCACGCACCAGAACTCAAGCTGGGTCAATCCAGGTGCGAAAAGAATAAAGAACCCCATTCAGGAAAGCATCCAGCTGGAGCTGTGCTTGGAAGACTCGTGAGATGAGGACTGATTCTCAAACCGTGACAGTTCTCTGATTCTGATTCTCTAAACTGTGACAGTTCTCTGTTCTCTAAGCTTCTGAGCAGAGTACAGTTTATTCCTACTTCTCGGTAAACAGCAAGTCCTCCTGACAGAGAGTGGAGGGACTGAGAGGAAACAGAAGCTGCCATTACCTGGCGTTATCCACAGGGTCCAAGAAGCAAATACTACCCACTGACCTGTGTCCCCAGCTCAATGGCACTTGACACTTGGAACATCTTACTACTAAGTTGGAAGGAGCCTCTTTTCAGGAACTCTGAGAGGAGGGGGATGACCTGGGTGTGGAGGGACAGTAAGTGTCCTTCCTCAGAACCCAAGGCTGTAGTCACAATTGTCTCCAGCAATAACTCATGTTTGCTTAAGAACTTGTTCTCAGGAACTTCGAGGCCAGCCAAGACAAACCCTGGTGCTGCCGGTCTGCCTCCCTGTGTGACTGGGACCACATAACCTTGGCTTTATGACTCAAAGACTCAGAAGGGGAGACTCCTGCCTGGTTCTAGGCTCTGAGGATAGAGGAGACTCTTTCACCAACTTCTCAGTAGCTGTTAATGTGTTATTCAACAACATTCATTCCCTAGAATGACATGATTGGGACCAATGCATCACAAATGTATTTATGTATGTATGTATGTATGTATGTATGTATGTATGTACATTTTGCTGTAAAGGAATAATGGGATGTGTATAAAATACTCTCCAGTGGGGAGAGTAGAAGTTAATGGGAAGTAGATGAAGCAAGAACTCCAGAAACTGGAAAGTATTAAAATGGTAACAGGCACACAGGGCCCAGTGTACTATTTTGATGTCTGGAAATATATATTTAAAAGCTTGACATGGTGGCATACATTTATACTTTATTTCTCTAGGAATCAGGAGGTAGGTTGATGCCAACCTAGGCTACATACATAGCAAGACCTTGTCTCAAAAACAAAACAACACAACACAACCTACAAAGACATACATTTGAATCTTACTATAATGAAGTTTTCATACCTTTAGCTAAATCACAAGTCTAAGGCCAACCTGGGCTACACATGACACTGTCAAACAAACAAACAAACAAACAAAACAACAAACAAACAACTTTTTAAAGGGATGTCTGTTCCCTCTGGTAAGTTTCCCTTCTTGAACAGGAGTCTTAAAGAAACTCGTCACCTTGAACCTGATCATTCTACTCCTGGGAATCTATCCAAAGGCAACAGCAAGAGAGACTCAGGCACCATCACTGGAGTACAATCTAAAACAAGGAAACTGGATGGAACTCACTATCTGACAACAGAAGAATGGTTAAGGACCATGCAACGAAATTGTTAGAGACATGGGAAAATACTCTCAACCTCCTGAAAGCAAATGGAAGAGTCTCAATACTTGCATAGTGCATGGCATCACTCTTTACTCGTTTGTGGCTCTAGGGACAACCCCAGGACTCTGGGCATGCCAAGTGTCTGCTCCACTGAGCCTCACCCAGCCCTTCAGTTTGTTTTTAAAAGCTCACACAGAAGACGGGAAGCGTAGCTCATGGGTGAGCACATGCAAGACTCCCGAGTTCAATGCTCATCACCACCTCACCCCACACAGCAGATGCATATGCAGAAAAAGAATCTGGAAAGAGAAACAGACAACAAAATATCAAAACTAATTCTCTCGGGCCACATTCACCCAGCATGCAATGCACATCTGTGGGAACTTGATACATTGATAGATGACCTGCTTCTGGGTCTCGGATAGGATTCTTGCTGTGACCAACTGAAAGTCAGCTTTGGCTTAAAGGTTTATAAATACAGGAGAGAAGTAAAATTGGGAATGGGATGAATTATTTTTTTCTTGGTGGGCTTGTAGCAAATCTATTTTTTCTTTAAAATTTTTTTTATTACATTGTATTTATCATCTATGTATCTATGTATCTGTCTATGCATGTATGTATGTATGTATGTATGTATGTATGTATTATATATGTATGTATCTACCTGTACAACATGTGTGCACAAGTGCATATGCAAATGTCTATATGTGGGCGTGGCCAAAGACTGACACTGGCATCTTCCTTGACTTATCTCCATCTCAGTTTTGTGAGTCAGGTCTCTCACTGAACCTGGAGCTCACGACTCAGCTAGACGAGGCAGCCAGCAAGCCCAGGGGTCCTTGTATTCTGTTTCCCCAGTTCTGTGATTTTAAAACAATATATAATATTTTTATTGATTCTTTGAGAATTTCATACGCATGCCTGGATTTTAAGTGAGTTTCCTGGTCTCACATTGGACACAGGTCCTCATGCTTGTTCGCAAATACTTGACTGATTAAGTCATCACAGCAGGCCCCCTGCCTGCCTTTTTGACTCTGCTGCCTGCCCAGGCCATCTGTAAACAGCACCCTTGGCAGCCCTGCTGGAGGAATGCCCTGGCAGGAAGGAGGATAGGATAGGACACCCCACTGTCACCAGGCCAGCTAGTCTTGTCCCTTTAGGCATTTCTGCTGGCCATCTGTCCTCTCTATTTCTAGCAGCAAAGCTAAGTGTCTTTGGAGGCCTGCTTGCCACAGCTTTCAAACCTCTCTCAGTCTGAAAAGCAGTGTTGTTCAGTGGTTAGCGTGTCACCTTGGTGTTAGAGAGGTGTTCCTGTCTTTGGCAGAGTCCTTAGGTATCAAGAGCTTCTGCTGAGGAAATGGTGGAGGGAGTGGGGGAGGGGGCTGAGAGGTAGAGGAGGGGGGTGGAGGTGGGGAGTAGGGAGTGGGGGAGGGTGAGATAGTAGTGGGGTAAACAAGACCATGGGATGGCAGTTACGTTTCTTTGTATGTATTTTATGACCTGTCTCCTCTCCACCTCATTCTCATCAGCACACTGTACAGCTCTCATCTCTGTGAAAACTGGGACTCTTTCAGATCCTGGGCTTTAGACTCATACTGACTGCTGAGAGACCTAACAAGGCCCACGGCACCAGAATCACCAGAGTTTAAATAGTTTAATTGTAAAAGAGCAGACTGCTTGAAAACAAAACATTTTTTAGCAGTGAATTTCTCCTCCTCCTCTTTTTCACAGCTGCGACAAAAATGCTTTAAAAATGTCTTAATAACAATCTGGTAAGCCTCAGGGAGTCGCTGCTACGGGGGCATAGCCAGTAAGACCCCACGAGGTGCAGCATGCTGCCTTCCACTGCTCCTGCTTGGTGTCTTTTTGAGATCAGTCAATAGACTGAATGATAATTGAAAATATATCTTTTCCTAAAATAATTGGAGGTGTTTCTTGCATTTAGACTGCCAGGTAATCAGATTTCCAATGGAAGGCCTATTTACTAGACTAACTCTGAGGTTGGGCATGTTCTCCAGGCCTTATGCCATAACCCTTTTAAAATTTAAAGTTTTTAAAATATACCTCAGACTTGTCTTGAATTTTCGATCTTTTCCCCTCTACTTCCTTAGTATTACAGGTTTGTGCTACCATACTCAGTCATTATACCTGCCCCCCCCCACCCCTTGTTTATAGTACAGGGCTGGTGAGATGGCTCAACAGGTAGAGGTGCCTTCAGCCAAGCCTGAGGACCTGAGTTCAATCCCCAGGAGAGAACTGACTCCTGAAGATTGTCCTCTGACCTCTATGAGCATGCACGCGGTATCACACAAATAAGTTACTCAATGGAATTTATTTTAAGATGTAGTTTTCTTAGTTTTACACACAACAAAATTTACCATCTTAATTTATGTGTGTGTCTTATGTGCATGTGTGTGTACGTACCACTTTTATGCCTGATGCCTGGAGAGACCGAACAGGGTGTCTGATCCTCTAGAACTGGAGTTATAGACGGCTGTAAGTCGAATGCGGGTGCTGGGGAATCAAACCCAGATCCTGTAGAAGAACAGCCAGTGATCTTAACTGTCAAATCAGGCCATTTTCCCATTCATTCCCTTTACATCGAAAGTGCTGATTCCCCCCACTCACACACATACATACACAGTCCCTCCACCCATCCCCTCTTCTCCTCTGAGAGGGTGAAGGCCCTCCTGGGTACCCCCCCCCTCCTCGGCACATCAAGTCTCTGCAGTGCTAGGTGCATCCTCTCCCCCTGAGGCCAGACAGTTAGGGGAACAGGATTCATAGACAGGCAACAGCTTTAGCTCCTGCTCCATTTGTTGGGCGGGGGGGGGGGGACCTACATTAAGACCAAGCTTCACAGAAACAGGGGTTAGATGCCTTAAACTATGGTGGCAGTGCCTTAACCGCATGTGTGTTGTTAGGCCCAAGGGTCTCTTCCATCCTTGTCTAGGGGAGCGCTGACCTTCCGTTCATACAACACCCAATTACCCATTTGTAAGTGATCCGCTCACTAGCTTTAAGGACACACATACTGCTGCACTGTCATCAGCGCGCCACAGATCTGTCTTGTGGAACTGTCTCCATGAACACACCCCCTCCTCCTCTATCTCATCCCTCAACAGATGCAGTTCTGCTGCCTCTCTGGTCCCAACTACTCAGGGTACAGCGTAGTTGCGAACTCAGACAGCATTCTTCCCTTTCTGACTGGGTTCTTTCCCTTAGTATAATTGTTTTACCTCTGTGGACTTGGGTGGGCGGGGGCATGGCCAGGCAGAACTGGGACGGAAGGAGGGCTTCTGGACAGCGGCTCCACTTCTCTGTCCTGTCCCTGACTCACTAACAACCCACTTCAGGCTCCTACTCAGTGACCAGATGTCCTCGCTTCCTTCATCTCGTCCCTCACTTATCGTAGGAGAGTGCCTGACGGCCTAGCATGGGCCATGTGCAGTCCCATGGCAGGCAAGCCACCTCACTCAAGAGTCCCATCAAGGCTGTCCACCCAGTGCCAAGTCTTCCTAAAGGGCCACCGTTTCCAGAGAAGGGGGCTATATTGGACACTAGGCAGGCTGCACCAGCATATGTCCACTGCTGAGGTGGCTCCCTGTAAAGGTACAGCGTGTGTCCAGCCCTCCCATTCCACACTGCAATGGCCCTTGTCTGAGAGATCTGTTGAAACACTTTCCTTGTCAAGTCCCTAGCGTCTTGAGAGCCAGTGTGGAGGCTCAGACACACCCTTGAGTGTGATAGGAGCAAGTGCTGGCTGCTCTTAACCACTGACGGCCTCACACATAGACTCCAATTCAAATGGCCAGGTCCAATCCAAGCTTGGTCATCTCCTGCTGTGTGGCTTTGAGGAGCAGGTGACTTCCACCTTTTTGAGCCCCAACTCTTTCTTCTGTAAGACTGCTAAGGGGTTGGGAACATCGCTTAGGGTAGAACACTTGCCTAGCGTGCTCCAGCCCCTGGGTTCATTCCTAGCACCACACTGATTGATTGATTGAGTAAAATAGTAGTTTTTACTTTGTCAGAAAATATTTAAAATTTTTTAAAATGCTGGGCAGTGGTGGTGCACGCCTTTAATCCCAGCACTTTTGAGGCAGAGGCAGGCGGATTTCTGAGTTCGAGGCCAGCCTGGTCTACAGAGTGAGTTCCAGGACAGCCCAGGCTATACAGAGAAACCCTGTCTTGAAAAACCAAAAAAAAATTTTTTTAAAAATTATTTAATGTGCATGAGTGTTTTGTCTGCATGTATGAATGAATACCACATGTGTGTGGTACCAATGGAGGCCAAAAGAAGGCATTTAGTCTGGAACCGAAGTTTACACATTGTGAGAAGCTACCATGTGAGTGTTGAAAATCAAACCCAGATCCTCTGGAAGAGTGTTCAGAATCTTAGAGTTGGAACTCCTACCAACTGAGAGGCATCTCTGTCCAGATTCCCATTCAAATACCATCCTGACCTGCTGATATATTTTTTTCAACTGTGCCTGGAATTTCCATTTTATACCGGAACAACAAAGTCTAAAAACATTGTGTGAGTGAATTCTAAACCTGGAAGATCACAGCTACCAACAGATAGTTCAGGCAAAGGGGGCTCCAACCTAAAGGCTTTCCTCTTTTCTTTCTTGAGTGCCCAGGAGAGTTACTTGGCTGCTTGGTGTGGGATAGATGGAGCATGGATTAATTAAAGGTTTAGAAAAGAAATCCTCTCATTGATTTCCTAGGAACAGAGAATAATCAATCCCATTGTGTCTAACACTGGAGTTTAGATGTGTGTCATATATTGGCATGGAGGGAGGAAGAAATTGTGTGCTGAAAAGATTTGTGTGTGTGTCTATGTTAATCTGTGGCATATGCTGGTTGTACAGTTTCAAAAGTAGATGATTGGGTAATTGAAATACTGTTTATTGATGAATTGCATCAAACTGATGGAATTAAGAAAAGCCTAGAACATGGGGCTGGAGAGATGGTTCACTGGTTAAGAGCACTTGCTGCACTTACAGGGTACCTGGGTTTGATTCCCAGGACCTGCATGAACTGCAGTTTCATACACCTAGCATTAAAAAAAATCTAAAATGAAAATAAATGCCTAGGACATGAGTGAGGCGCACCTTTGAGTGATACATCTGTGAAGATGTTTCTAGAGAGGATTATTAACTGAGGGGATGCCCACATCAGTACATGGACTGGGGTCCTTGACTGAATAAAAAGGGGGAAGGAGAAAGCCAGATGAGGGATGACATTCCCTTTTCTATGCTTTCTGGTCCACTGAAATGCTAGCAAGCAGTCTCAGGTTCCTACTGCCATGTCTTCCCAGAACACAAACCGAAATCTACCCTTCCTCCCTTAAGTTGCCCTCTGTCAGCTGTTTGGCCAGAGGGACGAGAAAAGTTACTAGTATCCTTGGGGAATTGATATCCTCACAGGATGGTGAACAGAACTGGGCAAACCTGCCAGGTCTTCCCTGATCTACCTCTGCCTAAGTGTGTCTTTCACGATCTTAAAGCATAGCTCAGTTTTCAGACAGCTGCACCAGAGCTAGCTATCGACGGATGCTGTGACCCTCCCCCAAGTGGCACAGAGAAAATTAGCACACATTAGGAGGGAAACTTTCTAAGGCTTAGAACAACCATTCTCCCAGAAAATTTCTTAGCCTCAGAGCACCTGGAGACACCAAATGAAAGCCAATGAAAAAGGAGAGATTTGGCCCGTGTGTTTTCAAAAGGCCAAACGCAATTAGAGTGAATTAAAATTATCTGCTTGAGCAGATTAGTTATTTTCACACCAATTCCCAGGCCTCAGAAGTGAACCTAGCTTGGCTGCTGACAGGCCACTGATACCGTCATATTTAATTTTTAGACTTGGCTGTGAAATTTGGCTCAATGTGAGTCTGTGTTTTGTCATACCCACAAAAGTGGGAGAGGATTCCTGCTGGGCAATCTGAGTTGGGGCTCAGTGACTTACAGGTTGTGTGATCTTGGGCAAGCAAGCCATTCTACCCCATGGACAGCCAATTCCACAATGAGGAAAACAACCTCTGCTCTGTGTACCTCCTAGGAAGCTTCACCTGAAGCTCAGAGAGATGGGGTTTGGGAACTGTGAAAGCACCATATGAACAGCCAGGGCAATTGGGTTCACAGATAGAATCCTTTCTGCCTTGTTACTAAATCTCTGTTGAATATGCATACTGTGGATTTTACTTAACCCCTGTTCTTGCAACATGACCCTTTTGAAAGTGTCAGTTTTAGAACTGAAAACAAGATATGCTTAGTCGGCCTACTAACCTCCCAACGACAAGACAGGCTAGTTATCTCTGAGACAAGGAAGCGACTGAAATCACCAAGAAAAGGAGGGCCTTTTCTGTGGCTCAGGCCACAACAAATTCTCATCCTGAAGGCCTTTCTTTCCTTAGTGAAACCGACATTTAAATCCAGAGCCACAGATTCTGGTAGAAAGTTAAGCTTCAGAAGGCAAGTGTGATGGTGCACATCTTTAAGTCCCAGCATTTGACAGAGGCAAGAAGGTCAAAGAATTTAAGGCTATCTATGCTACACAGAGAATCCAAGGTCAGGCCCAGAGGTGGCTCATTCAGTGAAAGCATCTGCTGCCAAACCTGACAACTCGGGTTGACAATCCCTGGGACCTTGCGCTGGATGGCTTTATGTTAACTTGACAAAAGCTGGAGTCATCAGAAAGGTAGGGAACCCTCAGTTAAGAAAACACCTCTATAGGATCAGGCTTACAGCAAACATGTAGTATTTTCATAATTTAGTGATTGATGGGGGCGGGCCCTGCCCACTGTGGGTAGGGCCATCCTGGGTTCTGTAAGAAAGCATGTTGAACAGCCAGTAAGCAGCATCCTCCATGGCCTCTGCATGAGCTCCTGCCTCGAGGTTCCTGTTTTGAGTTCCTTTCCTGACTTCCTTCGTTGATGAACAATGTGGAAGTGTGAGCCAAATAAACCTTTCCCTCCCAAGGCCGCTTTGGTCATGGTGTTTTATCATACAATTGTAACCCTAACTAATTGTTCAAGTCTTCTAACCTCCACACATTCAGCATAGTACATGCACCCACACATAAACACACACAACAAATCAGTGTGGTTCTTAAAAACAGTTCAGGGCTAGAGAATGGTTCAGCAGTTAAGATTCAGCACTCACCACTCTTCTAGAAGGCCCAGGTTCAATTCCTGGGCTCACAACCATCTATCTGTAACTCCAGTTAAGAGGACCTAATACCCTCTTCTGGACTCTGGGGGTATGAGGAATATGCATGATACACTGAGAAACATACAAGGAGAACTCTCATATACACAAAAATAAAAATATTCATACACACAAAAATAAAATAAAAATACATATACAGTTCGAAACTCAACCTGATCTGTGTGAAACCCTGTCACAAACAAACATAAACTCCTTTTCATTGTTTTCCTGAAGGTGAGGTGTCAAGTTCAGGTTACTGCCCAAGCCAAACTTACTGGTCCAGCTCGAACTTGTACATACTGGGCTGACAATATGTATTTAGCAAATATTTACCAGGGAGGAAAAGGAAGATATAACCTACACCTGTTCTTTCCTTATACTAAGTTTCTGGAATACCAGAATTGGAAACACCATGCTCAAATTCATATTTCAGGCAATCTGAGATCCCTCTGCTTTTGAGACAGGCCATCTAAAAAAAAAATGTAGCACATAAGAAAAAGTTCTAGTCAGTTAAAATATGACACAATGCTTTTTATTTTTATTTATTTATTTTTATTTTTTTGATTTTTTGAGACAGGGTTTCTCTGTGTAGCCCTGGCTGTCCTGGAACTCTGTAGACCAGGCTGTCCTCGAACTCAGAAATCTGCCTGCCTCTGCCTCCCAAGTGCTGGGATTAAAGGCATGCGCTACCACCGCCCGGCTGACACAATGTTTTTTTAAAAACCATCTCTACACTTTGATTTTTTAGACGTTAAGTGGAAAAGTTACATATCCTAGGATACATAAGACTGTGCCTTTTTGTGCTTTTATGTGCTTTTTTTTTTTTTAAACAAAAGTAAAGCTTTTTCCTCCTCCTGACAGACAGATTAGCAGACTTCAGCCTGTCTCATGGTCAGCCTCGGCTCCTTGCAACCATGCATGTTGTAGAAGCCCTCTTTTGTGTGGATGGAAAGGGGACATTCTGCTTCGCTCATAGATACAGTAACACAGACTATAGGTGTGGACTTATAACTTGGACCATGAAATACTTGAAGAGCAAAAGCAATCAGTTCTGAGGTTTATCGAGAGTCTCTAAGGTGCCAAAGGCGCTCGCCGTATCAACCGTGTCACCTTGTGTAAGCAGTGCTTTTGCTTTTTTTTAAACCTCTTTCCCCATTAATATACTTTAATGATTTTACTTTGTATTAGATTTGCATGGTTGTCTTATGTATTAGTGTGTTAGCCAGGACTTTTTTCTTTTTTTAAGTTGCACAAATGGTCCCAGAAGATTTTTTTTAAAAGATTTATTTATTTTATGTATATGAGTACACTGTAGCTGTCCTCAGACACACCAAAAGAGGGCATCAGATATCATTACAGATGGTTATGAGACACCATGTGGCTGCTGGGACTTGAACTCAGGACCTCTGGAAGAACAGTCGGTGCTCTTAACCACTGAGCCACCTCTCCAGCCTGCTTTTTCTTGTTTCACTTCATCTTGATTTGGCGGCTGTACTTCTGTTATCTTGCTGTTCTAGTTCAGGTACAGCAGCTGGATGCGAGGGCCCCTTGCACAGGGAAGTTAAGCCTGGGCACGTGCAGGTGCGTGTGATGGCAGCGCCTCACCTGCTGGGCTAAAAATGACATTGGTGTGAGGCAGTGGGGGCTTCAGAGTCTTTTTTAAGCAGAGGGAGAGCTAGAAATAAAGCTTGTGTGACAATTGTAATTGTTTTTTGGGGGCGGGCAGCCTCTCCGTTTAGAATAACTTTATTCTTTTTAGAAAATTCTTCTCTCATACAATACATCCCACCTATAGCTTCCTCTTCCTCCACTCCTTCCAGTCCCTCCCTATCTCCCCAAGGTCTACTCCTCCCCACCCTACCCCCCTTCCCAACCCCTGTCTCATCCCAGAAAAGAGCAGGCCTCCCAGGAGGATGTCCTTGTTCATAAATTCTATTTGGACTAGAAGAACTCCTCCTGCTTCTAGCTTTTTTTTTTTTTTGACAACCTTATGTAACCAGGACTCACCTTGAACTCAATATCCAGCCAAGGATGACTTTGAGAACTGCGAGTGTGGTGTACCATGTAAGCACTCTACAGCTGAGTTACATGCCAGCCTTAGTTTGTTGTTTAATTACCCTATTCCTACCATCCATTGGGACTTTATGTATACACAACAGCAAAGAGAATCACACACACACACACACACACACACACACACACACAAATGTTCTAAGTGACTAACCACAGGTGAGGGAAAAAATGAATTATTGTAATTCTCTTAGGGGCCTTGTTATCATGCTCTTTGCCAGGGTCCTTGGGTCATTACTGAAATGGTGTTGGTAGCCCTCATACTGGGCAGAAAACTGTCAATGTTTGATCTCTGATGATGAACTGTTTGCCCACTGTTCTCTCCCTTGCAGTCAGAGTACCATTTTGAGTACACAGCGTGTGACAGCACAGGTTCCAGGTGGAGGGTCGCCGTGCCACACAGCCCGGGCTTATGCACCAGCCTCCCAGACCCCGTCAAGGGCACCGAGTGCTGTAAGCAGCCTTCCTGTTCCAGGGTCTCCCCGATACTTAGCTCTGACCTCTAACCTAAGCCTCTTGCCATCCGAGCCAGGCTCTTACTGACAGCACAAACATCAGATTTTTTCCCCTAGTTAGTTCCACTCCCAACCCTTCTGAAATGTGATGCAGCTGCAAAAATTTTATTTGGTCAGGAGTGGTGGCACTTGCCTTTAAGCCTAGCAGTTGGGAGGCAGAGACAGATGGATCTCTGTGAGTTAGAGGCCAGCCTGGTCTACAGAGTGACCTCTAAGACAGCTGGGACTTCATAGAGAGACTCTATCTCAAACACATACACATGCACATGCAATGCACATGCACATACACTCACAGAGAGAGAAGAAGGAGGAGGAGAAAGAAGAGGAAGCGAAAGAGGAAGAAGAAGAAGAGAAAGAAGAAGGAGGAGGAAGAGGAGGAAGGAAAGGTTGCTTAATTCAAATCGAGTATCTGAATTTGCTTTTATTAAAACTCAGATCCAATGAATACAATATAAACAATTCTAGATCACACACACACACACACACACACACACACTCAGATGCACTCTTGAGTGCATGCTCATGCACACACACCCTTCATTTTTCTTTTCTGCCTGTCTGTGTATTTCTCTCTGACCTGCGCCTACCAGCTGCAGCAGTCACTAGGCAATATTCCAGTTTGCTTTTGTTCTTGGAAGGAAAACCAAAGAAAATGAGCTTGTGCAGATTCAGGCTTTAACATGCACAGGGCATCGTTTCAGGGATCTAGGTCCTTCCCACTGTCGATGTGACGGGAAAGGCAGTGAGTTGTCACTCCAACCCTGCCTCTCTGATTCTGTCCTTACAGTGTTACTATCCCCACTGCCCTGTTCTGTTAGGATGCAAAGGGAATAGCAGTAAATAACAGGGACTAGTCTTGAGGGGTTATTTAAAGATCTGCAAAGGAGATTAAGCACATTCAAATTCCAACATCAGTTTAGCCTACTGTCTGTCTGGTACAGGGAGTTTGAGCATTGACGAATGGATATGACCGAGATCTGGGCAGAGCTGAGGCTTAACTAATGGGAACAAAAGAGCCATCCTCAGTTGACTGAGTTGACATCAGTGAGCCCCTAGCATATGTAAACACCTACTATGTGTGCACATGATGGTGTACTTATTATGCTGGGTGAGTCTTGCCTACAAGCACTAAGGACATAGAAGAAGAAACAGATAGATATCCAGCCCATCTCTTCTGCAAACCTTTATGGTGCTCCTGTGATGACAGTGCCCACTCTGAGCCAGTCACTTCCTGAGGGAGCCCAGGGCCCCAAGGATACCAGGTAGATAGAAAGTGTTAGTACAATGTGAGAAAGAATCAGAATTAAGGATGTTTATGATAAGGGGTAGCTAGGAGGACCAAAGCAGAAGTTTGGAGATGGAAAAGTAGAGACACAGGGAGGCTGGGGCTTAGCATGAACTCGACACAGAGAAGGCATCAGGAAGGCAACAAGAAGCCAGGCTAGAAAGTTAGGATCCTGGAAATTTAGAAGGCAGGATGCCAGGCCAGAAGCTCAATACCATAACCCAAAAGCTGTGCCACACTGTTTGTTGTCTAACCTCTGTATAGTTCCAATCTATGTGCTACCAAAACAAAGCAAGCACTTCTTTTAAAAGAGAGACAGAGAGACAGAAAGGCTGGAGAGATGGCTCAGCGGTTAATAGAGCTGCTGCTCTTCCAGAGATCCTGAGTTCAATTCTCAGCAACCACATGGTGGCTCATAACCCTCTATAATAAGATCTGGTGCCCTCTTCTGGCATGCAGGCATACATGCAGGCAGAACGTTGTATACATAATAAATAATCTTGAGAAGGGGGGGATGGAAGGAGGGGTGTTAATAGTACAAATCCATGTTATAGAAAGATACCTAAGGCTAAAACAAGAAATCAGACAGACAGGTTTAGCAGATGCTGATAAACTCAGCTCCAATGACAATAGTAGAATCCAAAAGGAAGAGACACAGCCATAGGATAAGGGAAATGAAGGCTGAAGGACCTTACATGGTACAGAAAGCCCAGCGTCCTCCTGGCTAGAGGGCTTTAAGAATAGCTGAAGCATCTCCAAGGAAACAGGTCATCAGAGATGTGCAGAGCCTGCCTGACCCCCAAAGTCTTTACTCCCCCCCCCACACACACCCCAGGTCTAGGATTACAGGAGAGTCACCACCTTGTCTGACTTTAAATCCTTTCTTTATAAAAATATTAGCTTTATTAAGACACAGCTATTTTTACTATGCTGTTTTGTTTTATTTTTCTTAATTGAGATAAGATCTCTGGGTAGCCTTGGCTGGCCTAGATCTTACTGTATAGACAAGGCTGATCACAACAATCCTTCCTCTGCTTTCAAAGATACTACTTACACACAATGAATTTCACCCCTTGTTGGGCAAATTTCAGGGCTGTTATAATCTTCACAGTAATTCTTTTTTGTTTGTTTTGTTGGTTTTTCAAAATAGGGTTTCTCTTTGTAGCCTTGGCTGTTCTAGAATTCAAGAGATCCACCTGTCATTGCCTCCCTAAGTGCTGGGATTAAGGTGCGAGCCACCACAGCCCAGATGTTCCCAGCAACTCTTAACTACTCAAGTTTGGAGGCATTAAGAGTCTGAAAAAAAAAATGATCTTAGTGATAGTCTCTCTGCAGTCTCCTACCTCACCTATGGTAACCACAAATGTGCCCTGTTTCTATGACTATATTGTGTACCAATATCATCACACAAGATATTCCTTAGCTCTGAGATTTAGTGGTCTAGACCCCAAGATTCTGAACCCGAGGTCCCGGCTTTAGAGTGCCTTCAGCCCCATCCCTCCTCCAGAGAGCACAGTGATCTCAGCACCCCCCCTTGTCCCTGCTCTGCTTTTCAGCTTTCTCTTGCAATGCCGGGGAATTTCTGGATATGAAGGACCAGTCCTGCAAGCCCTGTGCAGAGGGCCGCTACTCCCTCGGCACTGGCATCCGATTTGATGAGTGGGATGAGCTGCCTCATGGCTTTGCCAGCCTCTCAGCCAACCTGGAGGTCGATGACAGCATCTCAGAGTCCACAGAGAACTGCACTTCGTGAGTTTGGGAAACAGCACACAAGCCTCCTGTGGAAGGGGCCGAGGTGCACTCTGGGTGGTGTTCTGTGGTGCTCCTGAAGCTGGAGGGAGGACAACACACCCTCTGGAGCCAGAGGTGGGAGTAAGGGTTACTGGCTGTGACCACTACTTTGACCCATTCTGACCTAAGCTTACCACTGACTAACAGACTTCTGGGAGAAGGAAACATAAAAGCAATAGAGGCAGGTAGACGAAGGATGACAAGCATCTAATGACTCAGCAGGTTTTTTACAAAAAAAAAAAAAAGACAAGAAACCATAATTGTGTTTTCTCTGTGGAATCTTGAGTGACCATACAAAATTCATCAACCTGATTAGAATGTAACATATAAATTATTGGTTGCGTCGCTGGCTTTGGTGCCAGACTTTCAAAACTTGCTTTGTCTGACGCGCTGTTGTGAGTTTGGAGAGGACAGAGTAGGGTGAAAGCTTTGACTTAGGAATGAGATCCTCTAAATCCCTTGAGTCCCCATGTCTTAGTTACTTTCTATTGGTGTGAAGAGATACCATGACCAAGGCAACTTATAAAAGAAAGCATTTCATTGGGAGCTTGCTGACAGTTTCAGAATGTGACTCCATGCAGCAGTCAGGCAAGCTTGGCCCCAGAGCAGTAGCTAAGATCTTGTATCTAATCCATAAGCAAGAAACTGGGCCTCATGTGGGCTCTTAAAACCTTCTCCTACAAGGCCACACCTCCCAATCCTCCCCAAACAGTTCTACTAATTAGGGGTCAAGGACTCAATTATATGAGCCTATAGGGGCCACTCTCATCTGAATGAATCTCAACTGAATATATATTTCAGATGTGCTTTTTTCAGATTGGCCCTGTGCTGGATGTATACATGGAAGATTTGTCTTGAACCTACTCAGGAGCCCAGTAAAATTGCCGTTGTGATTTCCACTGTAGAGTGAAAAACTGGAGGCCCAGTGAGGTTAAGCATTCCACCTTTGTTTCCTATCTTGAACCTGGAGAGATTGGTACTCAAACTCACTCCCAGGTTTTTTACTGCTCCACATCGCCACCTTCAAATAACACAATTTATTTGCTTATTTGCTTATTAACTAACTTACTTATTTTTGTTGTTCACAATGTTTTTCTGTGTAGCCTTGGCTGGACTCAAACTCCCAGAGATTGATCTGCTTCTGCCTCCCAAGTGCTGGGATTAAAGGTGTGAGCCAGCACACCTGGCAAGTTGTACTGTTCTTAAACAATGTGGTACTGATTAAATAAGAGTGTATATATAAAAGTTGTAGCCAGATGTTGTGGCGTATGCCTCTGATCCAGCACCTGGGATGTTGGGGTAAGAGGGTAGAGATTTTCAGGCCAGCCTGGGCTACATACTGTGTCCCTGTCTTTAAAACAAAAACAAACAAACAAAAAACAAAGGCAGGCTGCAGACATAGCTCAGAGCTTAAAAGCATTGACTTGCTCTCCCAGAGGACTGGAGTTATATTCTCGGCACCCTCATAGTGGCTTATAATTGTGTATAACTCCAGTTCTAGGATATCTAATGCCTTCTCTGGTCTCTGCAGACAACCAGGAATGCATGTGGTGCACAAAGATACACGCAAGCAAAGCACCATACACATAAAAATAATTACATCTAAAAGAAGCTTAGTTTTGTTTTGTATTGTTTTGTTTTATTTTGTTTTGTTTTGAGACAGGGTTTCTCTGTATAGCCCTGGCTGTCCTGGAACTTGCTCTGGAAACCAGGCTGGCCTCAAACTCAAAGATCCATCTGCCTCTGCCTCCCAAGTACTTGGATTAAAGGTTTTCATCACCATCACCCAGCAAAAATTTTTCAGAAGAAAGCACACCCGCCTAGGGTGTGTAGCTTAGTGGTAGTACACATGCCTAGCATGTTTGAGACCTTGAATCCAACCCCAGATCCCCACCGCTGGTCAAGGAGGCAAGGAGAAGAATCTAAGCAATGCCTCTGGTACTAGAAATCAATCAAACATGTTGTGATTGTGGAACATGAAGTGTCTTCAGCAGGGACAACACTAGCAAACACCAGAATGCAAATGTGACCCATTTATGGGATCCTTTTAATTATTCATCAGAGTTCAAGAGTTATTTATAGCTGACACTGTGGAGTACATCAGCATTAAATATCTCTTTCAACAAGCTTGTAAGACTATGTAGTTGGGCAGACATGGGAGGAACCCTTAATGGCCATTGTTAAACAGCTGAGGGTCTTGGGCTAGTTTCAGACAAAACAGAAACACCAGAACTGTCTCAATTTGTTCTTTTTTCTGGAATCACCATGAGGTCCTTGGGTGCCGGAGCTAGAAACTGGGGGGGATACATTATTCTATAAGACAAATTTGATTTTGTCCTCCCCAAATTTACAGGCTAGCCAGGAAGAATTAAAGTACGGCCAGAAGAAGATACCAGATTGCAAGAAAGCATCAGAGAGTAATCAAGGAAATGAGACTAAAGCCCAACTAGCCACTCACTGGCCTATTACATCATATAGCAACACTTCCCACCACATCACAGGGCAACCATGCAGTCTGTTCACTCCAAATTTGCAGAGGATGTGGAGCAACGGGGCCCTCTTAAATTGCCAGCTGGGATAAATTGATACACATTTTTGGGAACAAATTATCAGTACCAGGTAGTGCTAGGAGTTCCCATACCCCATGAGCCAGCGACTATCCCAGGCACTCTGCTCAGATGTGTGTACAGATATAGGAACAAGAATGTTCACATCAGAATGCAAACAATTATAAAAACCCTGAAAGCACTCCACATGTCCAATAGTTGTAAACAAATGTGTAAATAAATAAATAAGCTAGAACCACGCAAAGAATACTAGACAGCAGGAAAGATGGAAGGAAGGCCTAGGAGTGTATGAGTCAGTGAGAGAGTACATGTAGAGCATAGATTAGACCTGGGTTCCATCTCCACTCTGTGTGTGTGTGTGTGTGTGTGTGTGTGTGTGTGTGTGTGTGTGTGTGCATGTGTGTGTATTCACACCATTGTATAGTAATCTCCATCCTAAGTAAGTTTTAGAAAATTAAGAATGATGCCATTTGAGTGGTATTTCAAAACATGTAAAACAACATAGAGATACAGACATAAAATTTCATGAGAACGTTAAATACCAGAGTCAAGAATTCAACCCCACTTGATAGTTAGGGAGAGAAATGCTAGAAGAAAGGTAGGGGCTTTCGAAGGCGCAGGGTGGCTTCTGCTGCACTTGACTGCTCTGTTTTGCTTCTAATGTTAATTTAGTCTTGACAGTTTTATGTACATAGTGTATTTTGAACACAGCATCTCTGGTGCCCACCTCACCCCCTTTGGAACCTCTCGTCTTCCCAACACGTGAGACAGCAGAGTCTATGATATCTCTACCATGGGCTTTTGACCAGATTTACAATGGCAGACATGGATTACCTCCTGTAGAACAAGCCTCAAGTTAGAAATTGTTTGTTCCCCACATAACCTCTCATGCCATGATCTCGCCAACGGGCACACCTTGCTTGGCAGTTCAGTACTGTAGCATTCTGGGTATATTGCTGGGTAATAATACTACTGATGACTTTTCTCCCCCAACAACCTGCATAGCACCTTCCAATACTATAAAAGCTATACCGTGTTGGATTTTTTTTTTTTTTTGGTTTTTTGAGACAGGGTTTCTCTGTGTAGCTCTGGCTGTCCTGGAACTTACTCTGTAGACCAGGCTGGCCTTGAACTCAGAGATCTGCCTGCCTCTGCCTCCCAAGTGCTGGGATTAAAGGCATGTGCCACCACCACCCCTTAAAGATTTATTTATTTTATGTATTCACCATTGCTCTCTTCAGACAGACACACCAGAAGAGGGCATCAAACCCCATTGCAGATGGCTGTGAGCTACCATGTGGTTGCTGGGAATTGAACTCAGGACCTTTGGAAGAGCAGTCAGTGTTCTTAACCACTGAGCCATCTCTCCAGCCATCGTGTTGGATTTTTTAAGCTATGTGGTAGACAGACGTATGCTCATTTTACCTATGCATAATTCTTAAATGGTTGACAACATATTAGAATTTTAACTGAGAATGAAATTGTGGAAATAGAAAAATCTCAGGGCATTCTTGCAGAAGCAGATAAAGTCAAGGAAGGCTTTTATCTGTTTGTACAGGGTGTCGCTATATATTCCTGGTTGACCTGGAATTCACTGTGTAGACCATGATGGTCTCAAGTTCACAGAACTTGCCTCTGCCTCTGAAGCACTGAGATTAAAGGTGTACTCGACCATGCTTGACACAATGCTGACTTCTTAACATTAAGTGGCACTATCTATCTATCTATCTATCTATCTATCTATCTATCTACTATCTATCTATCTCTTTATTATAAGACTGGAGTAAGAAATAAAGAGAAAGAGGAAGAAGTTTGTTTGAGGAAGATGGCAAGTCCAGGGGCAGAGAAGCTTGACATAAGAATTGAGAGAAATCCTACAGATTTGCCCTATAAAGTATAGGCCAGGGATATGAGCTCTATCCCAAGAGCAACGGGAAGTCATTGCAAGGGTTTAGAGCGTTGAAGTGATTTGGTCATGTTTTCCTTCTGGATGTTTCTAATCATGGTATGGAGAAGTATTGGAGGATGCAGGGCCAGACACAAAATGAGTTTGAAGGCTGTTGACGAGGCAGTGTGGTAGGGAGTGAGGAGGGGCTATTGGGCTAGGTGGATAGAGTGAGCCTGAACAGACAAGACTGAACATGTCTAGCTCTCCTGCCACCTCTTTCTGATAAAAGGTAGCATTGTAAAGCAGATGTTTCTGGAAAAACAAGTGGGATGAGAGTGGATAAACTTCTGAGTTCTCAAGGATATGTTTGCTTATGGATTTGAGAACTTTGGGGATAAACAGTTTTGAACTTGAATCCTAGTCTTGTCAGTTGAAGGCTTCCTGATGTTGGCCAAGGTACTCTCTAAGCCTCAGTTTTCTCATCTATGAAATAGTCCTTCCTCTTACTGATGAGCGTAAAGCATGAAGCTGAAACATGCAGCTCAATAGCTGGTTGATCTATAGCTTCCCATGCCTGACTCTACCTGCTGTCTACCTCCAGTCCAGTGGGATGAAGATGGAGCCACACCCAACTGTCTTCCTCTTCTTGGCTGTGCCTTAGCCCCCTTGATCTACCTCAGAATACTTGTTGTTACTCTTCCCTGAGCATGTTCAGGTCTTTCTTAGTTACTATTTTATAACTGTGAAACAATACCATGACCAAGGAAACTTCCTTCCCCCTGAGACAAGGTTTCTCTGTGTAGCCTTGTCTGTCCTAGAAGTAACTCTGTAGACCATGCTGATCTTAAACTCACAGAGATCCACCTGCCTCTGCCTCAGCACTGCCAGGGTGCTGAGATTAAAGGTGTGCACCACCACCACACAGCCAAGGCAACTCTTAAAAGAAGGCATTTAATTGGGGGCTTGGTTAGGCCTTGACCATCATGGTAGAAGGCAGACAGGTAAGACACTGGAACAGTCAGTCACTGACAGCTTTATGTCCTGATTTGAAGCCTAGATAGAGGTAGTGTGGAGGGACTGACCTGGTATGGGCTTTTGAAACCTCAAAGCCCACCACCAGTGATACACCTCCTCCAACAAAGCTCCACCTCCTAATCCTTCCCAAACAGTTTCACTAACTGGAGACCAAGCATTCAGATCTATGAGCTTCTTGGGGCCTTGCTCATTCAAACCACAAGGAACAAGTTTCAGCTTTTGACTCTTAAGTCTGGAGTTTCCCCAGAAATCCTAACAGGAGGACATGGAAGCTAACACAGGGCACGAAGCTTTGTGGGGGTGCACTGCTATCATAGCACTTAGTCCTTGTTCTTTCACAGGTCCAAGTGGGTTCCCCGGGGAGACTACATCGCCTCCAACACAGATGAATGCACAGCCACACTGATGTATGCCGTCAACCTAAAGCAGTCGGGCACAGTTAACTTTGAGTACTACTACCCGGACTCCAGCATCATCTTTGAGTTTTTTGTAAGCTCCCAGGTGGGAGGGAGGGAAGAGAGGGTTAGGCGAGAGGTCAAGATTCCCCGAGGCTCAGATTCATTTTGTAGGAACCAATCACAAGTGTAGCCATGTTTGGGGATTTTTGTTGTTGTTGTTGTCGTTGTTGTTTGTTTTGTTTTGTTTTTTTCCCTCTAGAGAAAACCATGAGCAAAATGAGCCTGAGGATCTGAGGAGAAAAGACATAAGGCAAAGGACAGATTGGGGAGGGCAGAGCCTGTGAAATTCCTAGGTGTTTCATCCTGTTCAGACTTGTTAGGACATGCAAGGGGCTGAGTTGCAAATTATTTCTCTGAGGTCAATGTTCGGCCATTATTGTGTGTAGCTTACTGTTCTCAGTTTGGGCCTGGAGGGACTTGGCTGCTCCTCTCCTGTGGGAACAGTGTTGTAGAGCATCACACAGTATGGAGTAAGGCCCTCCTTTCCTCAGGAAGCTGAACCTCTCCTCCAAACCCCTTCTGCCTCAGGTCCAGAATGACCAGTGCCAGCCCAATGCTGATGACTCCAGGTGGATGAAAACTACGGAGAAAGGATGGGAATTCCACAGTGTGAGTATCACACCAGCTGTCCCCGCGGTCCCAGAGGAGGGGGCTGAGGGTCCTAATGGAGAGATTCTACTCTAGTGCCCATGGAGGGGGCAGTCTGAGACATGAGTAATTCCTCTCTTTGTGGTTGATCGATAATGCTATACAGTGACCAGTTTGCCCCTATGACTTCATCCCAGGAGCCAGAGCTTTCCAGCTTTGAGGCTGTGTTTTCTGGAAAACCATAGAGGAATGAGTGAATGCCAGTCTCCCTTGCTGCCAGCCCCCTCTGGCCCTGTTATGATCTCTCCATAAGAGATGCTTAGAGTACATATGATGCAAGGATCATGTGTGGAGGATCAGGGAAGAGTGGGAGAAGGTTAGGAAGACAAAGCTACAAAAGGCAAGTTAGCAATGCCCAAGTTTTGTGATGAATTAACAACTACCTTATGCCTTTTTAAAGGTTGAGCTAAATAGAGGCAATAATGTCCTCTATTGGAGAACCACAGCTTTCTCAGTGTGGTCCAAGGTGTCCAAGCCTGTGCTGGTTAGAAACATCGCCATAACAGGTACAGAAAACAACTTGGATCGGGGTCTGCTGCTGGCTTCCTGGACTCTTGGCTTCTAGGGGAGGATGGGCATTGGTCCCCAGAGCCTTGGTGTCTGGGCTCAAGCTTTGATTGTCTATACCATTCTTTCTTCCTAGGTGTGGCTTACACCTCCGAGTGTTTCCCCTGCAAGCCTGGCACATACGCTGCCAAGCAGGGCTCCCCTTTCTGCAAGCTTTGTCCAGCCAACTCTTACTCAAATAAAGGAGAAACTTCTTGCCATCCATGTGATGCTGACAAATACTCAGGTGATGTTTCTGAAGGTGGGAAATTGGGGAGGAGTGGGGTACCACTGAACACACAAAGGAAACCAGGTGGCCCATCTTATTGGCCACCCGAAAATAATTCTTTGTTGTTGTTTTGTTGTTGTTGTTGTCGTTGTTGTTTGGTACTGGCTTTCCCCTTAGTGTGGATGTGGCAGAGGCTCAGAGGCTGGCTTTCAATTTTTGTTTTTGTTTATTTTCTGAGATAGGGTCATCCTGTATAGCCCTGGCTGCCTGGCACTCACTTTGTAGATCAGGCTGGCCTCAAACACAGAGATCCATTGTATCTGCCTCCTGAATACAGGAGTTAAAGGTGCGTGCCACCAGGCCCAGCTTGACTTTGAATTTCTGTTCCCTCTGTCTTTATTTCCTAAGTGCTGAGATTATAGGCAAATGCCATCATGCCTAATAGTTTAAAAAGAAAACAAAAGACAAAAAAAAAAAACCCTATTACCATACTTAATCTATAAGAACCAAGAAGCTGTATTGACAAGCACAAACTTTTCATATTTATTTTCAATTACAAATAGTAATTACATATGTATTGATGAACCAGGCTCCCTCCATTTTGGCCTGAATGAGCCAAGCTAGGCTCATTCCTGTTTAATTAAATCTGTTTCTTAAAGATTGGGCTGTGCCCCACCTGTAACCTTAACTACAAATGGTTCTGTACTGCCTGTTGCAGGAACAGCAATCACACCATTGTTTCCGGAGGTTATCATCACCCTCTTGCAACCCTACCTTTATTTCAAAAAGTTATGACCACCTTGCTATGTTCTGCTCTTGGAACCCCACCTCACTTATTTGCCAAATTCCCCACTTGGAAACCCCCTACCCATGAGCTATAAAAACCCTTATCTGGCCCATGTCCAACGCTAACCTTTGAACCCTGCCTTAGGGGGTGAGTCAGCCCACGTACACAATTTTTTTTTAAAAGGGTTGTTTTAATTAATTTGGCCACCATGATTTGGGACAATGGTCTTTCTCCTTAAATCTTTGGGGTTAACAGTATGTATGAGATATAGTGTGATATTTCAGTACAAACCTACCTCATAGACCGGTCAGACCAGACTATGAGCATAACCATTTGTTGTTGTTAAGACAAGTCTTAATGCTCTAAAAGAAACTGGAGAGACACCTCCACAAACATTCTGATGTGAAAAGTGGGACTGGAGAGATGGTTCAGTGGTTAAAAATGTGTTCTGCTCTTGCAGATTACCTGAGTTGGGTTTCCCAGAACCCATGGCACTCATGTGTGGCAGCTCACACCTACCAGCTCACACAACTCCAGCTCTAGGGAACCTGACACCTACTCTTCTCGCCTCCGTGGACACTGCACTCACATGCACAAGCCCAACCACAAACATACATTTTTTTTAATTTATTTTTTTAAGAGAAGGAAAAAAACAAGATCTGGTCATTTAAGAACACGTCAGAATACCTGTGTGAGAGAGGTAACGTCACCAGAGTGCTGCTTAGACAGCCCAGTGATGGGTACCGGGTCTAGACATCAGAGTAGGCTGTGAAACAAGCAAGAGATAGGAGAGTTCTGCTCTGCCCTCTCCCTAGGAACCCTTATCACGACCCCCTTTCCCCTTCTTATACAGAAACATTTACAAACCCAGCATAAGGCCCATGCATATAGACCCACACCCTCTGTAGACTGTCCCATGTGTCACACAGGTGTTAACATGTGGTTGCTAACCCAGGACCACCCAAACCCTCTGTAGACTGTCCCATGTGTCACACAGGTGTTAACATGTGGTTGCTAACCCAGGACCACCCATACCCTCTGTAGACTGTCCCATGTGCCACACAGGTGTTAACGTGTGGTTGCTAACCCAGGAGCAGCCATTGACCTGTGGCTTATTTCTACATTCCTAATACAAAAGCCCTATTTTTCCACCCAGATCTTGCCAAACGTGGTTAGTTTTTTGGCCAGACAAGAAAGTTTAGATCTGGGAGGAAGTTTCTAGCCAAACATCTAGATTCCTGTTTTTCCACTTTAATCCTCATGCCTCTCCCCTGCTCTCCCTCTTATCAATGGTGGCCTTTGTTAGTCTATCTTTGGCTCCATTTCTAACTCTGCAATTGTGCAAGGGTTTGAATGACAAGGCAGTAGTAGAAAAACCGTGTTTCAGTCAATGCTGTATAAACTGATTTCTACCCAAGAGTTATCATAAAATTGTTAATCAAGGAGCTGAATTCATAGAGCTATTCTCCGGTCATCGATTTCTCAATCCGTCCCTTTGACTCAATCTCACCACTTGCAGTACAAAGAAAGTCACATTTATTGGAGATGTAACTCTTTCAAGGGGGTGGGGGGCTGGGAAAGATTCAAAGAGTCGAATATGAACCTAGCATGGAATGCACTTGAAGGTAGTGACAGAAGACTAGGTCTCACACACATATACCTTGAGTGCTTACAAGGACTGGCCTTGGTGCTACAGCCAGAGTTGGTGCCTGTCCTCCAGGTTGAACCAAAAAGGAGAAAAATCTGCCTATGTGGACACACAAATGTAGGAACTCTCCACGGTCCCATAGGGATCAGCGGAGGCAGAAAAAGAGATGTGGTTGGTGTTCCTGGGAAAGGGGACAAGCCTTCACTGGCTGAGATCTTTCAAGGTAAAGCTGCAGTGTCATGGGGACAAGATATTTGGAATGGAAATGATATAAGCCAAACTAGAAGACTCATGGGGCAATTTACCATGGTGGCTCACACCAGCCCCTTTGTGCTGTTAAATACTAGCAGTCTGTTTCCTAACAGAAAAGCATACTGTTCAGGAGCCCAGACTCCAGAATGCACTCACCAGGTTCAGATCTCAGTTTCACAGGCCTCACTAGATGTGACACCTGGGCGCGTTGCTTGTTCATGCCGCAGTTTTTATACACGATCTTAGTGGAGGCCCAAGAAGCAACTGTGCCTCCATGTCTTTACCTCTAAAATATTAGTGATAATGATCATGTCCACATCATGCTGTTACCGTGGGGATTGGCTAATGCAGGGAAGGATCCAGAAATGGGCCTGGTATTTTGTAATTGCTTTTTTTTTTCTTGTTGTTTGTTTTGTTTTGTTTTGTTTTGTTTTGTTTTGTTTTGTTTTGTTTTGTTTTGTTTGAGACAGGGTTTCTCTGGGTATCCCTGGCTGTTCTGGAACTCACTCTGTAGACCAGGCAGGCCTCAAACTCACAGAGATCCGCCTGCCTCTGCCCCCTGAGTGCTGTGTAATGGCTGTTTTAAAAAATGTTTCTTGTAGTGTTGGGGATAGATCCCAGAACCCTTACACATGGCAGGCAGGCTCTCCTCTCGGAGCTTCAGCTCTTGCCTAAACTCTAATTATTATTACACTTATTTATTTTATTATGTGTGTGTGGGGGGGTGGGCTTGTGCGTGAACATGTGTACATGAGAATAACCTGCAGGAAGGAGTCAGGTTGTCAAGCTTGGGAGCCAGGACCTTTACCCACTGAGCCATCCTGCCTGCCTTACCCCGTCAGCATTAGTTTTATTAATTCATTTTTTAATGAGGGACTATCCAGATACCCCTCTTACAGAATGAAAACGTTCTCAGTATAGTTTACAATAATAGGTCACGTGTATAGAAGTTTACAATCAATACATTATCTCATTTATGACTCAAAGCATGGTGTGTGAGTGAGCTCTCCGTTTACAAGTGAAAGGTAAGCTCGGAGAGGCCCAAGGGCCTGCCCAGCGCCTGAGCTGCTATGAGCTGTCCTGTTGTGTGTATTGGGGTCCTATGCCTGCGGAGGAAATGTTTTCTTTTGATAAAATGGGTCCCAGAGAGAACACTGGACTAGAAGTGGGGGAAAGATATTGACAGGCGAAGGGAGGTACAGAAAAAGGACCTAGGGCCCTGAGATAAACACCTCTTTACATTTTTTCCCAGGAGCAATCCTCCTCAACCCACACTCAACCCCTCGCCCTACCAGACATCTAGGTGACTTTTTCCACACTTGACTAATGCTCAACTTAAACCCCTCACTTAAACCAGAGCTAGGAAGTGAGGTCTGTGTCAACATGCCGGTTAATCATTTATTGAAGCCATTTTCACAGTAGTCTGTGTGTAAACAGCTGGACCATTTCTGCTAAAACTTAGACCTAGGGTGTCAGGTTAAGCAAATGTTTAACTAGCAGAACAAAGGTCCTTGTGCCAAATACATTTTCTAACACTTAACTTGTGCTCTGCCAGACCTGATACACAAGGCCCTGGGAACTGGCACGTGTTCAGCACCTCCCCCCACCCCCAAATCTCTCCTGGCCAAGTCAGTCACCAACAGGAGTTTCTAGTTCCCTCTCTGAGGAATTGGGCCTCCTGCTTGTTTACCAGGTAAATGAGCTGAGATGATTCCAGCTGTTTCCTAAGGCTTTCTTCCTTCTTGCCCAGCCTAATAAGACAGGGACAGAAGAGATGGGGAGATACTCAGTCTCAGAACTCCCAGTGTAGACTGACAAGGCATCCTTAGAAGAGTCTCTGACAGAGGAAGTCATCTGGGAAAGGGAAGGGACCTGTTGAGAAGTAAATGCCTCACTAAAAGGGAGAGGAAGAGACACTAATCTATTAAATTTCCCGGGAGTTAGCAAATAAAAAAAATGTGTAAGTTTACAGGCAATAATAGTGATTGGCTTTCCTCTCTTTCTTTCTTTCTTTCTTTCTTTCTTTCTTTCTTTCTTTCTTTCTTTCTTCCTTCCTTCCTTCCTTCCTTCCTTCCTTTCTTTCTCTCCTTCCTTCCTTCCTTTCTTTTTTTTTAATGTATTGTTTACTTGTGTGTTTGTGTGTGTATGGCTGTGGGTGTATCTGCACATGTAGGTTCCCAAGGAGGCCAGAAGAGAACATTAAATCCCCCGGAGCTGGACTTAAAGGCAGCTATGCACTGCCCAGTGTGGGTGCAACTGAACTCTAGTCTCTGAAAGAACAGCAAGTGCTCGTAACTGTTAAGCCATCTCTTCAGCCCCTGTAACGTCCATTTCGAGTCTGTGAGTGTGATGGGCCAGGCACTTGCTGGTTCTGGCAATGTAGACAATGCTAGTCCTGCTCCTTGGATGAGAGAACCGAGAGAGGTTAAATAACTTGCCTAAGGTGACACAGCTACTAAGTGATGAATCAGCACCCAAACCTAGACCTGCCTAGCTCCCAATCTCATTTGATGATGCCACACTGTATAGCAAGAAATAAATGGAAGAAGAGATTACCTCCCCCTTATAGATGCTTATCTACTGAGGACACAGTGTTCATTTTAGAAGTAGCAGGCACAGCAGGTGGGGGGCAATACAATGGGGAATCCCATAAAGCAGTGTGTTTTTATTCTTTGTGTGTGTGTGCGCGTGAGAGCATGCATGCATGTCTGTGTATATGTATTCCTATATGTATGGGCACACGTGCGTATGCAGGTGCATGTGCATATATGCACCTACATATGGAAGCCTGAAGTTTGACCCTAGGAATATTCCTCTATTGCTTTCTACCTTGTTCAGTGACACAGAGTGTCTCACTTGAACCAGAGTTCACTGGCTGAGTTAGTCGAGCTAGCTAGCTTGCTCCAGGAATCCCTGCCTTCTGAGAGCTGAAATTACAGGTGGGCTCTCACAGCTACCTGGCATTTAACACAGGTTTGGGGATCAGATTTCCGGTTCTGATGCATGTTTGGCAAACCCTTGGACCACAGAACCACCTGCCCACCCCAGGTGGTTTTTATTCTGGAGAGACAAAAAAAATCCTATGGGAATTTTTAAAATTTAAGTTTGCATGAATTATACATATTTTCCTTGGTAAAGGAAGTGGCTTTGTTTTCCCTTTAGAAACTTTTCTCAATACATTTTGATCATACTCTTTTTCCTCTCCAACCTTTTTTTTTTTTCTTAATTTTTCCAAAAAGGATTTATTTTGGCTTTTGAGACATTTGTAGCCCTGGATACCCTGGAACTCACTATGTAGACCAGGCTGGCCTGGTTGAACTCACGGAGATTGGTTTGCTTTTGCCTCCTGAGTGCTGGGATGAAAGTTATGTACCACCACATCCTCTGTATGTGTACGCATGGTGGCATACACTTGTTTTCCTAGTACCTGAGGCATTGACATTGGGAGTTGCAGGTTAGCATAGGCTATGATTTGGGCTATAATTGTCTCTAACATCAAAACAAAAGGAAAATATGACATCCATTTCTTTAAGGAGGATTCATTAGTTCTTCTGTAAAGGTCCATGGTACTGAAGTAACATTATATCTTTATAAGGGGAGCACAAAAAGCCCGATACATTGCCTAAAGACGTGGGGTTCAGTGGTGAAACATGCCTGGAGCCCAGGGTTCCCTCCCACTACTCCCAGACTAGAAGAAAACTGGGTGAAAGTCAGCACTGGGATGCTGAGGCTGAGGCAAGTCAGAGGCATCTCCATCTTCAGTTCAAGGCAGTTCCAACTTTATCTGTGTGGAGTGGTCTCATGGAGAAGGGAGTAACAGATGGTCTTCTTCATGTTTGTCATAGGCAAGAGAATGCTCAGACAAGGTCTAAAGAGAGGGCCTGGAGACATGGCTTAAATGTTAAGAGCACTGGCTTCTCTTGAAGGGAATCTAGGTTTGATTCCCAGAACCCACACGGTGGCTCATTGCCATCTCGAACTCCAGTTCTAGGGGAATCTGACACCCTCTTCTGGCCTCCTTGGGAACCAGCCACACATGTGGTCCACAGACAGACAGACATGCAGGCAGGCAAAACAGTATTACACATATAAATAAGAGTAGGTTTAAGAAAAAAAAATTCCTTGGTGGTGCACACCTTTAATACCAGCACTCAAGAGACAGAGGCAAGTGGATCTCTGAATTTGAGGCCAGCCTAGTATACAGAGGGAATTCCAGGACAGCCAGGGTTATACAGAGAAACTCTGTCTGAAAAAGCAAAACAACAAACAAACAAAAAACAAACTTAAGGAAAAAAGAGTAAAAGGCCATGATGGCTCATACTTGTAATCTTAGCCCTCCAAAAAGATGAAGCAGGAGAATCACTTTGAGTTTGAGGCCAGCCTCAACAGCATGGTGAGTCTCAGGTCAGCCTGTCTCAAAAGACCAGAAGAAGGCAAAATAAATGAAAAGATAAAGCAAACACCTTCTGAGAGTTTGTGCGGTGACACACGCATGGGCTTGGGTCACTCTGGACAGTGGCTAAGAGCCCTGCTCTCTTATGTAACTTGAAATATTTTTTTCTCACTTTGGTCATTTAGAAAAAGGATCTTCCACCTGCAAAGTGCGCCCAGCCTGCACAGACAAGGATTATTTCTACACTCACACAGCCTGTGATGCTCAGGGAGAGGTGGGTAGCACGCTCTGAGCACCTGCTCCTTACTCTTGACCACCATTCAGGCTCCCGTGGTCAATGAACTGATGAACTGAATGGAGAACCCCACCCCCACCCCCCCCAGACCTGCGTGGTGAGCTCAGACTAGCGGGAGGCAAAGAACATGGCTTCGTTCATGTCCTGAGCAGGCTTCCTTTTGCCTGTGTGCTTTACCCAGTATTTCAAACACACTCCATTTTCTGTTGCTTGGTTACTCCCGTTTGCTTAGTCCCAGGCCCCAGCTGCCCATCTGTCCATCTGCTGCTTTTCATAGTGATACTCAGTCTCAAGTGCTAGCTGCTTCCGGGGAGACCAGAGGGGATCTTTTCTTACCCCCAAGTCTCTGGGAAATGGCCTAAGTCAGTGTTTCTCAACATGTGGGTCTTGATCCCCTTGGGGTCAAATAACATTTCACAGGGGTCAACTGTAGTTGATCCAATTTAAACTTTTCCCCGACTATCTTACAAATAAATGAGACTTAGACTACAGTTTCTTATTTGGCTTTAACGATTTCCAGGGGTTACCCCTAATCTACTTTTCTAGCTACTAGCCTGGCTGCCTCCCCACCCATGTTCCCCAGATATTTGCTGTTTCTCCTGGCCATGTGCTCATGGTCTGTCTCCTCTCCTGGGACCTTCTCTCCTCTCCCCTCATTCTCCCCCTTTCTCACCCGTTCAACCACGACACTAAAAATCCCACCTACCTCTAGTCTCTCCAGTAATTGGCTGTAGCCATTTTTATTTAACCAATAGTTTTAAATTAAGGAACAAAAGCTGGCTTTGAGTGCAGAATTTAGCATTACAATACATAGCAACAGACCAAACTTCAGCATAACTGCATTAATATTCAACCTCAACATTGGAAAGCATAGATATTTGCATCACAATTCATAACAGTAGCAAAATTACAGTATGGATTTGAACGACTATAGGAATTACCATTATGAAGCAGCAGTGAAAATGATTTTATGGTTGGGGGTCACCACAACATGAGGAACCGTATTAGAGGGTCGTACTTAAGGGGCAGTGAGAGCCACTGGCCTGACTGGTTTTAGTCCCAGTTGTCCCTCTCCAGCTCCCACCCACACCAAACCTCCAGCCTCTGGACAAAGCCTTTCCTTTGTACTTTCTCAGCATCTCAGTTCTCCCAGAGCTCGCAAGGGCAGCAGGGAGTCTGAAGAGAAAGAGGGCACCACCACAAGGCAGTGGAGGTCATGAATAAGGCCTGGGAGAACCCCGGAGAACAGAACAGGCCTGAGGAGCTGGAGAAAGCCTTTTTGAAAAGACTATTCAACAAATAAAAGACAGTCAACAAATATTGAGGGGGTGTGGGGAGTTTTTATTTTGATTTTTTTTGAAACAGAGTCTTATTATGTAGACCAGGCTGGCCTAGAACTTACAGATCCGCTTACTGCTGCCTCCTGAGCATGGGGGTTAAAGGTGTGCACCACCATGCTCAGCTAATACTTTTTTTTTTTAGAAGAGTCCACACATGTTGTCTGAAGACACCTGGTCACCCATTTTCTCTATCATCAGATACACCCTTCCTCCTCTGACCAACGTTATTTGGCAGTTACTGTGAACAAATGTTTGACCAAAACAGAATTCTCTACTTTTTCTGGAATTCTCATCCTGGTCCAAATCTCTTGCATTCTTGGTCGGTATCCTCCAACATTCTGGGTCGGGTTGAAAACAGTGGTTCTCAACCTTCCTAATGCTGCATGTGACCCTTTAATACAGCTCCTTGGGTTGTGGTGACCTCCCACCACAAGATTATTCATTGCTATTTCATAACTGTAAATTTTATACTGTTATGAATATAACATAAATATCTCATATGCAAGATAACTGATATATATACGTATATGTGTATATATATATATATATATATATATATATATATATATATAACCCAGTGTTTGAAAACAAAGACTAAATCCCATGTGTTGAATCTTGCTTAATCCAGTTTCTTCTTTTCTTTTTATTTATTTTTAGACACAGCTCATGTACAAATGGGCCATGCCAAAAATCTGTGGTGAGGACCTGGAGGGCGCAGTGAAGCTGCCCGCCTCCGGTGTGAAGACCCACTGCCCACCCTGTAACCCAGGCTTTTTCAAAACCAACAACAGCACCTGTGAGCCTTGCCCATACGGCTCATACTCCAACGGCTCCGGTAACAGCCCGTCACTCTGCTCCGTAATCCTCCCCATCCTAATGCTGGCTGTCGGGTGGGCCACGTGAATACCCAGAGTAGCTAGCAGAATAGACTCTGCCCATCCACTGAAGGCAGTGAAGGGCAGGCCAGTTCTGAGGACCAGGGTCAGGAGTCTATAGGTTACAGTCAGATTTAACAACTGCTTTGCCTTCTTCTTCACTCCGTCTGCAAACATGACCCGGGCCTCAAGAGTCTCAGTCGTCACAACAGAGATGTCCAGTATGTGTATGTAGAAAGTTCAGGAGGCTAAGGCGACTACCTGGCCAGAATTGGAATCTTTGCTGCACAGAGGAGTTGGGGGCGGGAAACAAGGGTGGGGTTGGGGGTGGGATTGTGTACATGCTAATTCGAATGCAGTTGATGGCTATGTGGGAATCACGTGAAGCACATGAGCAAGATTAAAAGGGACATCGGAATGGATGCTTTGATAAGTAAGGACGGTTGGCTTACTGGCCTCTGTGTCTAACTGGAACGTGTTAAATATGATTTGAGTCCCTCTGGCACGTCTTTGTACCGCAGCACTACGCCATCCACTGTTTGGCTGCCGCTTGTCTGTCTGGCAGTAGTTTCTGACCGTGGCTGTAGATTTCCTCCTGGGTAATGAATCTTGTGTTTCCCCTAGATTGTACCCACTGCCCAGCAGGAACTGAGCCTGCCGTGGGATTTGAGTACAAGTGGTGGAACACACTGCCCTCCAACATGGAAACTACTGTTCTTAGTGGGATCAACTTTGAATACAAGGGCCTGACAGGTGACTGCCTCTCCCCACTTTCACTCCCTGCACTCCCACGGGGAGAGACCCATCCCCTTGAAAGCATCACTCCTGACAACAGACATGCCACCACCGATGCTGAGTTTCAGAGACAGCTAGAAAAGGCATGGACGGTTCCTGCCTGTAATTCCAGCACTCAGGAGGCTGAGGCAGGAGCATCGCTGCAAATAAGAGAGGTCCAGGCTGACCTCAGGGTGAAATCCTTCTCAAAACAACAAAATTATTAAAAAATAAAACAAAAGGGGTCGAGACAGAAGGATTGACACAATATCTGGTCACCCTGGGCTACAGAGTGAGAGAAAGGGAGTGGGGGAGAAAAAGAGAAAGGTAGCTAGGAAGAAAGGACATAGTAAGTTATTTGCCGGATTAGCAAAGGTCTGGAAACCTTAAAGGGGAGGGCTATTATCTTTAGAGTGTCACCCAATATACATTTGCCAATGCCTGAGGACATTAACCCTTTCCTCTCCTTCTCCAGGCTGGGAGGTGGCTGGTGACCACATTTACACAGCTGTCGGAGCCTCAGACAATGACTTCATGATTCTCACTCTGGTTGTGCCAGGGTTTAGGTGAGGAAAGCCCAATCCAACCTGGCCTCATCCCAATCCCGAGTCTTCTGGAATCAGTCCAGAAGAGAGGAACACACACAATGGCCATGCTAACTGGACACTAGCACATTTTCTTAGTTATCACCGGTGGTCGTTACTCTTTTTAAAATTTATTTTTATTTTGTGTGTGTATGGGTGTTTGCTCAAATGTATGTAGGTATGTGGCCCCCATGAGAGACCAGAAGAGGACGCTGGATTCCCTAGAACTGGAGTTACAGCTAACTTGCAAGCCACCATGTGAGATCTAGGAATCAAATCCCAGTACTCTGCAAGGGCAGCCAGTATCCCCAGTCTCCGAGCCCTGCCCCCGCCCCTCCCCCACCCTGCGATGGCATAGTTTGAATGTCTACTGGTTGGTATTTGAAATCATCTAGGAGACGTGTCTCTAGGTATGTCAGGAAGGGTGTTTCCAGAGAGGATTGACTAAGGAGGAAAGATCTCTCTTGATTCTTGAGCCACCTCATGCTCCGGCTGCCGTACTTTCCCAGGAAGTGGACTTTATCCCCTCAGACCGTGAGCCAAATAAACCCTTCTCTCTTAAGTTGATTTTTGTCAGGCATTTTGTCATAGCAATGAGAAAAATAAGTAAATATACCACCCGTGCTGTATTGGCCCATCTAGCTTCTCTCACTGACAGGCCTCTTGACTCCTTCCTCCTCATAATAGCCGAGAAAGTCTCTAAAAAGAGACTTAAAGTCAGGGCCACAGTGCCCTTTGCAGTTCATTTTTTATGCACTGACTTATTAGACTTATTTCTTTTACTCTGTGTGTATGAATGTTTTACTTGGGTATGTATATGCTCCTTGTGTGTGCCTATTGGATCCCCTGGAACTGGGGCTGTGTATGCTTGTGAGCTACCATATAGGTTCTGGGAATTGAACCTGTGTCCTCAGCAAGAGCAACAGCAGCTCTAAACCACTGAGCTATCTCTCCAGCTCAGATACAGTTCATTTTTACTTGTAGCAAGAAGATTGAGCAGGATTGTTCCTATTATAAAGCACACTCACACGGCGTATTGTTAGACATCAATACTATAATGCGATATAAATCAGACATTTGTCACCTCCATTCCATAGCTGATGGAGCTAAGCTAGGTCAAGGTCATATAACTTGGGTGGCATAACTGGACTTAGTTCCCACTTCTTTCCAACAAACGCCTTACCTAGGTCCCCCAAACCTTCAGCGAACCCTTTCTGCTGTCTAGACTCTTCGAATAGCACTTCTTGGCCTCTGAGATGACTTTCAATATTTCTCTCACAGACCTCCACAGTCAGTGATGGCAGACACAGAGAATAAAGAGGTGGCCAGGATCACGTTTGTCTTCGAGACCATCTGCTCTGTGAACTGTGAGCTCTACTTCATGGTGGTATGTTTCTTCTCTTAGCCAGATGGGGGCTTCCACGGGAGGGCTGGCCCAGCATGTCCCAGCAGTGAGGCAATATCCTGGACACCCACTACAGTGATCCCACAAAGCAAAAGCCAAGAGCGACTGCTAGGGACTCCGTAGTACTTAACACAGGTCTGACCAGTGTGCTAGCCCACAGTGTGGCGCTTGCCTCACATAGCAATCACGCCTTCCTCACCTGCCTCTCCTGGGCTCAGGGCATGAATTCCAGGACCAACACTCCAGTGGAGACGTGGAAAGGCACCAAAGGCAAACAGTCCTATACGTACACCATCGAGGAGAATGCTACTGTGAGCTTCACGTGGGCCTTCCAGAGGACCACCCTCCACGAAACAGTGAGTCCCTCTCTGCCCCGGGTGCAGACTGAGCGCAGGATTCCTGCCATGAGCTCACACTGGCTTCTGAGTTAATAATCTGCAGGAGCCAAGCAGAATGCTCAGCATGGCCCTCTGAGGGCTTCTAGCCTTTTCTAAATGACTTCCAGGGAAGATGACATTGAATACCTTCAGTCATCTGTCCCCTTGCAGTCTCTACCACAGGTAAAGCCAGACCTGTGGCTAGTTTTAAGAATAACTACTCTGCTTTTCTTTTGGTTTTGAGACAGGGTCTTGGTATGTAACCCAAACTGACCTAGAACCTGTAAATCCTCCTGCCTTAGCCTTCCCAGAGCTAGATTTAAAAACTTGGCTTTATTTTCTTAACTCAAAAAAATGCAGATGTATTGCAGAAAACACAATAACCTGGACTATAAAGTGGACCCTGTCTCAAAACAAAACAAACAAATCTCCCATATTCCTCTTACCCAGAGATAACCTAGTTACTATCTGGGAGAGTATGCATTCTTTGTTTCTATGTCTCTCTATCTCTGTCCCTCTCTGCATCCCACACGTATAAGTATGCTCTCACTTTTAACCCCCGCTCCTCAGTCTCTGGGTTTTAGAGACAGAATCTTACGATACAGTCCAGGTTGCCTTCCACCTTGAGATCCTTCTGCCTCTGCCTCCTGACAGTTGAGATTGTGGGGTAGTCAGACCACATCCAGCCCTAATTTTGATTTTTAAGAATGTGGATTTTTTTCTTTGACAAAGATCTCCACCCATATATTAGAATCTCTTATAAATTCCCCATGGCACATAATATTTTTACATGGAACTTAAAATGGGTTAGTCTTGTTGTTAATTTCACAAAATATACCTTAAAATCCATTGTTCTTTTTAAGCTAAACTATTTATTTATTTATTTATTTACTTAATTTTTGTTTTTGTTTTTTGTTTTTGTTTTTTTTCTGAGACAAGGTTTCTCTGTGTGGCCTTGGCTGTCCTGAACTCAGTATATAGACTAGGCTGACCTCAAACTCACAGAGATCCACCTGCCTCTGCCACCCAAGGGCTGGGATTAAAGGTACATGCCACCACCACCCAGCTCACAATTTATCTTTAGTATCGTTCATCTTTAATTATCATACAAAGAGCCATCACTAAATAAAATGAGAAAGATGCTTCCAGCGGTTCAGTCAGTAGCAGCTGTTGCCATGGAGCCGGAGGACCTGGGTTTGATCTCTGCATCCATGTAAAAACCAGGGCATGAGGCAGTTAGTTCAGTGAGAGACCCTGTCTCAAAAAACGAGATAGAGAATGATAAAAAGTGTGTCTGATGTCCATGTCTGGCTTCTACATGCATGCTCACATAGGAGCATGCACATTCAAATGCACATATAGACATGTACACACATGTACATGCACAAGTAAAGTGAAAATAAACACACATTTCTGTAAGATACAATTACACAGTACTCTGCTCGTCCTACAGCTGCTGCTGCTTCAGGCCTCTCCTTTCTCTCCTCTTGTTTCCTCAACTCCAGGGCAGAAAGTATACCAATGACGTCGCCAAGATCTACTCGATCAATGTCACCAACGTCATGGGGGGCGTGGCCTCCTACTGTCGTCCCTGTGCCCTAGAAGCCTCTGATTTGGGCTCCTCCTGCACCTCTTGTCCTGCTGGCCATTACATCAACAGGGATTCTGGGACCTGCCACCTCTGCCCCTCTAACACCATCCTGAAAGCTCACCAGCCTTATGGTGCTCAGGCCTGTGTGCCCTGTGGTCCAGGAACCAAGAACAACAAGGTGCCACCAGTCTGCCAGACTTGCATGGGTGCTGGGTTCTTAATGGGATTCCCCAGGAGCTGATACCCACATGCCTCCTCTAGAGACCCCCAGCCCAGTCTCATGCTCAGGTTGTTGTGGAGGACACTAGCCAGGAGGTGACTGTGGGTGGTGAGTTCTTAGCAGAAAGACTTGTCTTCCCTCTGTAGTAGGCAAGTCACATCTTCAGTTGGTGGAGATTAGTGACCCTGTGGTCCAGAGGTTTGGCATCTGTGGAAAGACCTGAAGGGAAAAGATAGTGGGGTCTGTGGCCCAAATTTAGCTCATTTCTGTAGTAATCTACCCCCTCTGTTTTAGGAAGGTGAGTCAACCTTTGCTGGTACTTAAAAATTAATCTGCATTGCTGCCCTCCATCCAGGGGGCTTCTCAGCTCTATGGATATAAAAATCTAGTGTGGCCAGTGATACTGGCCTCAAGTAGTTTTCGCATCCAAGAACAGACGTGCACGAGCAAGGCATGGTGGGTGGCACCTATCAGTAATCTCAGCACTTGGGAGGTAGAGGAGAGAAAGTCAGGAGCTCAGGGTTATTCCTATCCTACACAGCAAGTTTGAGACCAGCACAGAACTCACGAGACCCTGTCTCAAAAACAAAAACAAAGCAAGATAAAACCCCAAACAAAGTACATATGAAGAAAGGGTCTTAGATAGTTGTTAACATTTAGAATTAATTTGTATTTTACTGATTACACAAGGGAGACACCTATCAGACTTTATTCATTTATTTAAATTTATTTATGTATTTATGAAACCAGGTCCCATATAATCCAGACCAACCTCAAACACTATATAGTTTTGCTCTATTTTTCTGCAAATTGTGTACATTCATTGTACAGACCCCTGAAAATCTTTTAGGGCAGTGGTTCTCAACCACTGAGTGGGGGTCGCATGTCAGATATCCTGCATATGAGATATTTACATTACGATTTATGATAGGAGCAAAATTACAGTTATGAGGTGGCAGTGAAGATAATTTTATGGTTTGGTGTCTTAAAGGGTCACAGCATTGGGAAGGTTGAGGACCATTGTTTTAGGGGGTACCTGAGACATTCTCCATAGTCTTCTTCCCCTGGAGCTCCCTCTGCTGTTGGGAGGGGGGAGGGGAAGGAGAGAATGGCAATATGTCAGACTGCCTCTGACTGGGTCCCTAACACAAGAAACAGAAAGCAAAACTCCTTCCACAGCCCAGTTTCCTACAAAGAACTCCAGCAAAAGGAATCGAGTTTCAGTGAGTTAAAAATGAGCATGTGTGTGCTACACATGCGGGGAAGGCCGGAAGTCTCCTTGCCACTCTGGAACGCTTATTTCAGTTAAGGCCCCCTGTCTTCAGCCTGAAAGACAAGTTTGGTCACAGAGCACATGCCCAGGCTGCACAAGGCTCTAGGTTTGAAAACTAGCACTATTAAAAACAAAGTCAGACAGGGATTATCCAGTGAGTACAGACATCTGGGAACCTCAGAGTCCTGCAGTGCAATACATGTGCCACAGTAAATCATAGGTCTATTCAAAGATTGAGACAAGGGGACATTTAGCCAACATGAATGAAAAGCGTGTCAGACATATTGGAACAGGGATCTTGGCCACAATGATTAAAATGAGAGCGGCATCAGTCCAAGGCTGAGAGGACAGTTGCCAGGCAGATGTCCTTGTAAAAGTCCTTTGTGTATGTACAGGGGCATCCTTTAAGAGTCTGCACACTGGTGCTTCTGTCAGTCTTTCACCATGGCCACCACAGGTGGTCATATATGAACCCACTTCAGACATGTTCATCTTACATGTGCCAATAATCAATAGCAAGGTAGATCCGATCGATGTCTGCTTCACTTCTTTTAATGTACCTCAGACCTTCCTTCCTCCTCTTTCATTTCATTCCGGCTAGAGCAGGTTGTGGGGAGGTCTGCTGTACTCCACTGCAGCTCTCTCGGCCTGAGATTGGCCATTGACTGGACCCTTTCCCCCTCAGATCCACTCTCTCTGCTACAATGACTGCACCTTCTCCAGAAACACCCCCAACAGGATTTTCAACTACAACTTCTCAGCTCTGGCAAGCACCATCTCTCTGTCAGGAGCGCCCAGCTTCACTTCAAAGGGGCTGAAGTATTTTCATCATTTCACCCTGAGTCTCTGTGGAAACCAGGTAAGCATTGTGAGCACTGAAAAGTGGACTGGAGGCCATATATAAACACAGGAGAAAGACGAAACAAAACAAAGAACACCACAGAATCTCTGAGGCAGCCGGGGAAGTTGAGAATTAATGAGGTTTAAATAATTGTAGCCAGCCTTCCGCAGGGAGCTGGGAGAGGTAATCTGGGGCGTGTATCCTACTATTCCTGCTTCAGCCTCTCAAGTACAAGGTGTACACTCGTCTTCATGGCTGGTCACGGCAAGGTTAGTAAAGACCAGAGGTGCCAGGCATAGTGGCACAGAAACAATCCCAGCCCTCAGAAGGTTGAGGCAGGAGGATCTGGAATTTGAGGTCAGACTATGCAGAGTAACTATCTCAAAAAAAAAAAAAAAAAAAAAAAAAAAACTTGGCAGAGAAGCCAGTTTCCTTCTCTCAGCACACAGTTTGCTTTGTTTTATTTTGCTCTTTCACAAACCAGAAGGGAGAGGCTGAGATACGACTGAGAGGCCAAAAAGTTTGGCAGGCATACGGCCCTGGGTTCATTCTCCCAGAACCTTCTCTCCCTCCCAAAGGTTATCCAGACTTAGGAGTCCTTGAGTACCTAGCAATCCCATGTACTTGGGGGGAATGAAGCTGGGTAATCATTAGTTCTAGGTTCCACTGGGCTATCTATCGAAATCTCATCAAAACAACCAAACAACCAAACAAATAAAACAAGCTCAAGGCTCCAGGTCTGTTTGAACCCCTGGGGGTCTGTCCAGACAGTGCTCCCAAGACAGACAGTGGAACCACAGCACCAAGGGAGACAAGAAGGGAGTATAAGCCAGCCCTAATGTTCCAGTAAATGTCACTGGCCTCAGGGCTCAGTTGCATAGCCCAGCTTCTGTCTAGAGGATGCACCCAGATACAGAAGGGCCCTTGATCAGTTGGTTAGAACTCCAAAGCAGCTGCTACCAGCATAGTCAAGGTGACCACACGGAAGTACAAGCCTAGTGTCTAGAAACTGGGACAAATCTTTACCTTCTCCCTCACCTCCACCCCCTCCCCCTCTTCAGTCTTCTTGTGTGAATATTCTACTGCAGCATGGGAGGGGTACCTTTTAGATGTGGGGGCGTGGGGAATGGTCCCTGCTCCCTTCTGGGACTCTTCTGTGATCTTTTGCTTTCTTCCACATGTGCCCTCACAGGGGAAAAAAATGGCTGTGTGCACAGACAATGTCACTGACCTCCGGATCCCTGAGGGTGAGGCCGGTTTCTCTAAGTCTGTCTCAGCCTATGTCTGCCAGGTGGTCATCATCCCCTCTGAGGTGATGGGCTACAAGGCTGGGGTGTCCTCGCAGCCAGTTAGTCTTGCTGACAGACTTATTGGTGAGTAATCCAGTTACCCGAGGCTTGCTTGAGTGTCTGTGTGTGTGTCTGTGTGTCTCTTTGTGTATGTGTGTATCTGTGCATGTGTCTCTGTGTGTCTGTGTATATGTGTCTCTGTTTACGTATGTGTCTCTGCGTGTATCTGTATGTAGGTTTGTGTGTCTCTGTGTGTCTGTGTGTCTGTATCTGTGTTTGCATGTGTGTCTATGTGTGTTTCTTTCTCTCTGTGTATCTCTGTGTGTGTTTTTGTTTGCATCTGTGTCTGTGAGCATGTCTCTGTATATGCGTATCTCTCTATATGTTTGTGTTTGTAATTGTGTGGGTCTCTGTGTGTCTGTGTGTTTCTTTATGTGTCTCTCTCTGTGTTTATGTGTTTGTATGTCTCTGTCTCTCTGTCTCTCTCTCTGTCTCTCTCTCTGTCTCTCTCTGTCTCTCTCTCTCTCTCTCTCTCTCTCTCTCTCTCTCTCTCTCTGTATTAATGAATGTGAGGCTGATGACTGGAAGGTACATGGCCCCATGTGAGAAGCCCAACCTCCTGATCTTTTTTCAATTCTATCCCATGTGCCCCTGACATCTCTGATAAACCCGGGTTTCATATTTGCATGAGCCACTTGGCAATATGATGAAATAAAGGTTGGTTGTTGACAGGCCTTGAAAGCACTGAGGTAGTGACCAGCTAACACTATGAGCAAGAACTAATTGGGAGCTCTGGTTTGACAGGAGTGTCAACAGACATGACTTTGGAAGGAATCGTCTCCCCACTTGAACTTTTTCACCCAGAGACCTCCGGGATCCCAGACGTAGTCTTCTTTTTTAGGTGAGGATGAAAGACCAGGCTAAAGCAACCTCAGACTCTTCCACAAAATTGCACCCCACCCATCCACTTCCTACTTGTCGAGCCTAAGCAGGATTGGTTGAAGTCTAAGGCTACCCAATCATCAGAGTCATGGCAGTAACTTAATATGAGCTTTTTACATATTCTTGGGGCCATTAGGCACTGGGTCAGGGAGAAAAATGGAAGATCTTCCAAAGGAGGTCCCAGTATGTACTAGCCTTTTCTTTCTTAGGCCAGGGAGTTGCCCCTTTGATTATATTTCCCTGGTCTCCACTCTCTCCACATAAGGACCAAAGTTTACACACTCCCTGTCTGTCAAAGAGAACCCGAGTCCCTACGTGCCCAAATCACCCCATGTTGACTCCATACAATGGCTCCTCAGTGACAGCAGGGTGAGCCTTCCCTCATGGCTCTCACTGCAGATCCAATGATGTGACTCAGTCCTGCAGTTCTGGAAGATCAACCACCATTCGCCTCAGATGCAACCCAATGAAAGCTGTTCCTGGCTCTCTGCGGCTACCCAGGTAATCTCTGTGGTGGTGGTGGTTGGGGGGAGGCCACACAGTCTTGCTGAAACTCACTCCATCCCAAGATGTAGACACTATTTTTAAAAAGAAAAAAAAAAACACTCTAGATCCATTCATGGGCTCTTGGGGGCACAATCATGGCCCCTAGATCTTAAATCAAAGTAAAAAAAAAAAAAAAAGCAGGGTGTGGCAGTACATGTCTTTAATCTCAGCACTTGGAAGACAGAGAGGCAGACTAATCTCTGAGTTGGAGGCTAGCTTAGTCTACATATCAAGTTTTAGGCCACTAGGATGAGATAGTGACATATTGTCTCAAAAGGGGAGAGGGACAGGATATTTGCTCTAACAATAGCATGGAAGTAGGAAAAGGCCTCCTTGCCATTGTAGATATCACACACAGCAAAGCACAAGCTAATCCAAAACTCAAGCATAGGAGCGTATGCCTGCAACTTAGGAGGTGCAGACAGAAGAACCAAGACAGTTTTGCGTATTCCTGGGGTCATTATAGACCACGGCAGGGAGAAACATGGAGAATCTGTCATAGACTTCCCTTCCCTGAAGGATGTCCCAGGAGTTCTGTTTTGGCTAGGGCAGTACATTGCTGCCTTGACTTGCCTCAGTCTCTCCACGTAAAGACCAAAGTTTGTGACCCAGTTGAGGTTGATCTCAGCTACATAATGAATTCAATGCCTAGACTACAGGAGACACTCTTTTTTTTTTTTTTTTTTAAGATTTATTTATTGTATATGAATACACTGTAGCTGTCTTCAGACACACCCGAAGAGGGCATCAGATCTCATTACAGATGGTTGTGAGCCACCATGTGGTTGCTGGGATTTGAACTCAGGACCTCTGGAAGTGCAGTCAGTGCTCTTAACCACTGAGCCATCTCTCCAGCCCCCGACAGGAGACACTCTTAAAAACAAAACAAACAGAACACACACGTGCATGCGTGCGTGCACATACACACATGCACACACCTGCACGGCTGCGCACGCGCGCGCACACACACACACACACTCCTGCACTGGGCTGAGGAAATAGCTCAGTAGCAAAAGTGCTCGGTGCACAAGCATGAAGACCTGCGTCCGCTCCCTAGCATGGTGTCACACTTGGAATCCCAGTGTTGGAGATCTAGAGACAGTGGATCTGTGGAACACAGTGGATCTGAGGAGCTCACTGGACAGGCCAACCTAACCTAATCAGCATGTCCCAAGTCTCTCCCAAAACAAAGCGGACACCTCCTGAGGAACAACACCCAAGCACAGGCATAGGCACGTATCTACATCTGAACTCCATCTCAACTACAGTCCCACAACCAGGCAGTTGTATAAAAATAGCCATTGTAAAATGTGGCATGTCCATGGGGAGAACATGAGGATGTCCCCAGGGGTCCTAGAATCTGGATATCTTAGGCTGAGCCTTCATTTGACATCAGCAGAAACAGGCAGGGATATTAGAGAGTAAGCTGTTAAGATGGCCATGATGACTCATTCATACATTTCCAGCACTTGGAAGGCCAGGACACAGCATTACTGTGAGTGTAAGGCCTGTGTTGGTTACAGAGTGAGACCAGAAAGAAAGGGAGGGAGGAAGGAATATAGAAAGGAAGGAAGAGAGGAGAGAAGGAAGGAAGGGAAGGAGGGAAGGGTAGAGGGAGGGAGGGAACATCGGAGTTAAAGGCAGGTTGAGGGAGGCATTTGAGGGAAAGAGAAGAAGAATAAGGCATGAAGTGCCACAGGCATCCAGTGTGACAACTTGGTCTCCTTTCTACTTTGCTAGCATGTGCTCTGATGGGACCTGTGATGGCTGTAACTTCCACTTCCTGTGGGAGAGTATAGCCGCTTGTCCACTCTGCTCGGCCTCTGACTACCACACTTTTGTCAGCAGCTGTGTGGCTGGGATCCAGGTAGGCTGTCCTCTGCTCTGCTCGGGAATGCCCAGGAGACAGGGGGTTCTGAGTTCTGAGGTCCTCGTTTTTCTCCCCAACAGAAGACTACTTACGTGTGGCGAGAGCCGAAGTTGTGCTTTGGGGGCATTTCCCTGCCTGAGCAGAGGGTCACCATCTGCAAAACGATTGACTTCTGGTTAAAAGTGGGTATCTCCGCTGGCACCTGCACCGCCATCCTGCTCACCGTCCTGACCTGCTACTTTTGGAAGAAGAATCAAAAGTATATGGTGGGGTGTTGCAGTCTGAGGGAGGTTGGAGTTGGATCCTGGAGCCTGGGTGTTACTGAGAATTTCCTTTAGAGTTGGCTATTGAGTCTGCAATTGATCAGAGACTTTTTAAAAAGATACTCATCCACTGTAGGTCTTGGTTATTTTCGTTCTTGAGCAGGGATGGCTATCTAAAACTGGCTATAAGATTCTCTAAGGAAAAACCAAACCAGTGAGGTGGTGCTTGCCTTTAATTCCAGTACTTAGGAGGCAGAGACAAGTAGACTTCTCTGAGTTCAAGGCCAGCTTGGTCTATATAATGAGACACTATCTCAAAGTAAAAAAAAAAAAAAAACCAACCAACCAAACAAACAAAAAAAAACAAAAAAAAAGAAAAAGAAAAGAAGAAAGGAAGGAAAGAAGAAAGTATCCTTGGGCCGAGGTTGTAGATCAGTGGTAAATTACTTGCCTGGTATGGATTCAAAGTCCAGCAAAAAAGAAGAATGTTCTTAATTTGTGGTTTTTATTAACAATGAAACCACAAGGTATGCTACATGCCTGTAATCCCAACACTTGGGAGGCAGAGGCAAGAGGACTCAGAGTTCAGGACCATTCTCGAGGATATCATTTCTGGGACAGCCTGGGCTATATGAAACCCTGTCTCATAAACCCCAAAACGAAGCAAGCAAGGCATGACTTTATAATTTCAATATTTCTGTTAACCTTTGATATCCCAGAAACAAACAGCCTTGAAAAAAAAAAACCGATCACTAACTTGGGAAGCAAGATTCCTTCTGTTCACCTGTCCTTCATGCCATCTCTCCGGGCTTTGCTCTTACTGTGACAGGCAGTATCTGTTTGTCGCCCAACCTTTCCCCCTTACTCCCACATTCTCATCTCCTGCCTCTTCTGTTCCCTTGTTTCCCAGATTAGAATACAAATATTCCAAATTGGTAATGAATGCTACTCTTAAAGACTGCGACCTGCCAGCAGCAGACAGCTGTGCCATCATGGAAGGAGAGGACGTAGAAGATGACCTCATCTTTACCAGCAAGAAGTCCCTCTTTGGGAAGATCAAATCCTTTACCTCAAAGGTAGGGAGGGACAAGAAGTGGACTAAAAATCAGCTTAGAAGGGTGGTGTGGACACCGGGGTACTAAGTGGCCCTGCTCCATACAAGACCTCTACTCTGAGCCCCACTCCCAACATTCTTCTGGCGTCTCCAAAAAAAATAGCACCTTCTTTTCTCTGTAGCTCACCTCAAAGCTCTCTACTTCTTCCCTGGAGCCCAGCCTGCTCTTGACCAGGCTCCTTCCTCCCAGAGTGTATTCTGGTGGGTGGATTGTTAGGGCTTTTTAACTTCCAGATGGAATATTGAACCATTTATGTTAATAGTTACACAGAGAGAGAGAGAGAGAGAGAGAGAGAGAGAGAGAGAGAGAGAGA